ATCCCATACGACCGTAGTTTCTAATTTGTATGCATAATTTACAGCCACACTGAGTTCGAGTGGAAGGATATATGTGTCCTGGCCTGTGAGGAAAATGGAGTGGGAAACAATTTCCAATTGTCAACAGGCTTGTGTGTGAGCCGGAAAATGTATCTGGGAGTCTATCTGAGAATTGATGAGTTGATGCCTAAGTAAGTCGCTGACAAGTCAGAATTTCTAATCAAAGGAGCGAGGAATATCGATTAATTGGAGCTTAAACACTAAGCGCCACTTGCATTAAGTGTTTACAAAAAGATTAAGACGCTCAATAAGGATGTTTAAAGTTTTAAATCAGGGTTTCCTACGATAATATTATTAGACAAATAATTTAGGGCCTCAAAAAGTGTAAGGATATTAAATAGTTTTGAATTAGATTAAAATAAATAAATGCCATTAAATATTGAACTTTTTATTCTTTTGGGAAATAAAAAACCCTTGTAACCGATAAATTAATAAATAATATGCAATTAGATTTGAAGACATTTAAATAATTTACTGAAAAACTTGAAATAGTGCCATTTAATAAACAACTTTTTATTCTTTTAGGAAATACAAACCCTTGTAACCGATAAATTATTAAAACTATTTGGCTTTGCCTGGAAACGTCATGTTCAAGAACGACTTTCAATAGTGATTGATAAGTAAAAGATTCTACACTTAAGGGGAAAAGTCTCTAAAACTCATTAAGTTTATTCCATATTTTCCTTTTAGTTTCTTGGGTAAGCATACCTTTATAAAAACAACTTTTGCATAAGGTTAAACCTTCGCCTTCGGTGTTTCCAAATTGAAATAGTTTTGCACCATTGCCTGTCAGAATATAAAGAAGCAAACAGAACAAAAAGAGGAGTAAAGAGAGAGTAACCAAAAAGTAAAGAAAATTGCATACCAAGATATCCTTAACATTCTCCAATGCTTTTCTTTGCCAAAGTAAACAATATTTGGCCAAACTTTTAATTAAAGAAAATAGAAAAGAGAGCAAAATAGGGGGAAATTGCACCACGTATTGTTATCGTTTGGAATTGCGCAACTGCAACTGCAATCAATCTAAATGTCGAGCTGTCAATAAAATTGTCAGCCGAGCTGCTGCAGAGGGTCCAGCATCCTGTCAGCCATCTGCAGGATCCAAGGAAAACACGTTTGCATACCTCCATTCAGCTGACTGAACTCGCAACCTCTTCCTGCTGGTAGAATGGGTTGCGGGGCAGGAGGAATGGGTTAAGGCCACGTTGGTTAGCCAATATTCAAACGAGAGCAAGTCGTGTGAAACAAAAGCGGGGCCATGCGACCTGGACCGTGATTTGGTAACACATATTTGACACATGTCACGGCAAACAGTGCTTTAGAAAAAGGTCAAACTGAAGCTTTAAATTTGTAATTTATAAAGATATAGATATACAAAATGTAGTCTGATAAGACTAAAATCATAAAATTGCTCGGTATAACATAAAAACCTTAGTCTTGAATAGTTACAAGAATTAGTAAGCTTTTTGAAAAAAAATTGAAACTTTATTCAAGAAAAACGGACACAAAACAAATATATTTAAAATTTTATTTATTTTACTTTTATCTCTGAATCTATAAAATTGATCATACATTTTATGTACTAGAAATAAAATTTAAAACAATTATGTTAAAGTATTCAATTTTTTTATGACTGCCCATTACACTAAAAGATTGAAATTAAGAGGTATTTAAATAAAAGTGAAAATATAATAATTATCGCTTGACCCATTTTTCTACTTACTATTTTGAAAAACTATTTAAAATAGTCAACAATATTTTCAGCCATTTTTATTGCAATTGTGTCTGTAGAATTTTATTGCGAATAAGCCTTTCTTTATTTGCTAATAAAGCATATAATAATAAATTTTTATATACATATATTGTTACTGATCCCTTCTTTATTTGCTAATAACGCGGAAATTTATAAATGTATATTTGAGTTCCGCCGACCTTTCTTTGCTGGTGTAACAGTCACATTTGGCTGCCTTGAATGCCGCTTCCCTCAATGCACTTCAATGCGCCTGACATTTTTATTAAAAGCTTTAAGTTGTTACTGCAGCGAATGTACACGCACACATGCTCGCACATAAATGTCAGGCAGCCAGAAAGGATATTTGCTGCAATGGCAACGGCTGCTGGCAACTTATTGGCTGCAGGACACACAAACGCATTTCTCTCTTCCTGTCTTATGCAACAATGTAATAATGCCAGGGAGCAGTCTATATCATGGCAACTTTAACTTTTCCCCCGTCAGTTCTAAGTCATTTTTCTATCCCGCTGGGATTTACTTATGACACTAAAACTGGAATGCAAGCTGGCATCATTTATTTCACAGGATCCCTAGAAGCAGCAGAAATTGCATTGCGTGACATTTTATGAAAACTCATTTGATAAATGATTGCGAGCAATTGAATCGTCTATGGGGGGGGATAGGGCTATGCACTTAAAGCGATCCGCGAATTGGGCTAATGACAATGCACAGCACGGTCGTCGCTCCTTCAATAACTCGGCATGTGCCCCATTTAAATATGCCAAACACATGTCGTATGCGCAATATTCGCAATGCCAGTTTGTCTGCGGGAATTTTCGCTTTTGCACACATAATTTTCGTGCATAATTTGGAAGGATTTCAACTGGGTCGGATCCTGCGGCAAACAGATTTGCAATGCACAAAACGTTTATGTGATGGGTATGTGAATGCCTGGCACCCCTTTTCGATCCACCCACCCACACTTTCCCAAATACACCCATGTCTCTAATATATACCATGTCATACACTGAGAGAAAATTTCGAATGATTACTTTAAAAATGAAGTTCAACGATAAGCACGGGTGATCTCTTAAAAAAATTCTATAAAATGTTTTTAAAACAAACATTTTAATTGAGCATAAACTTTTTTTCACCTTGACATTAATTTAGTTTTTGAATGTTTTAATTTTTTAGCTTTATAATTTCTTAGAATTTTTTATTTTAATGCGTAAATAAATTTTTATTCAAAACTTTTGAAGATAAGGAAATATCTGACATAGCTAGAAAAAAAGATAAAACTTACATAAAATTTGTAATATTTATTAATTTTAAATAAAATCGCTTTATTTCTCTCAGTGCACACACACAACCGATGCTTGTTCATAATGGGCATAAACATTCTCGCATCCGTTGCCGTTGATTTGGTCGCCTTTGCTTTGTCTTCCAGCTGTTGTACGTTAGATATTTTGACTATGCCGCTGCGAATTGCTGTTCTACTATAGTCGATGTTGTTGTCGTCGCTTCCCGCATTGCATTTGTCGGATGTGGCAGGACCTGCTGCTATTCCTGCCGCTGCTGCCAGGTCCTGATAATGACGGCCCGGGTCTGTGGCTTAATTTAAGTTTGTATTAATAATGGAATTGAATTTTAGACTCCACTGTGGAACTTCTAGACCCACTCGATTGTGGTGCAGTTGATCAGGGCCTTCCTGTTACAGTTTCCCTTGTTTTAAATGGCAATTAATAATGTATGTGAAATTAATTAGGTGCCTTAGGCGATTGATTTTGTTTGTCAAGATAATTTGTTAAGTTTCCATAATAAATACCTCTATTATGGTGAAATTCCATCTAAATTAGTTTAAATTGCTTGGGATTTGAAGAAAACCATTTAATATTTTAAATTGCTTTAAGGCATCTTCGCATTGGGTTTTAAGTTGTATCACTCATACGAAATTGAGTCTTTGATCAAATAACTCTGTGCTACAGCAAAAATTAAAATATTTTCATAAAGATTTTGGCGTATTCAAATGGGGTGTCCAGAACATCGGCGTTTTAAGCAAATGAAACTCACAAACATAATAAACAAGTGTTACTCCTTGACTTTCAAATATTACTTTCCACGCAATTTAAAGAATTTTTAGCGGATTTTCTATAAGAAAAGTAAGACTACAGTATATTTGGTAATCGTGTTCTTTTGCCAAAAACTTTGTTAAAAAACCAATAACGTTTACTTTCCATGTTGTTAAAGATCTTTAAAAACATGAATTCGTTCTCCTGTTATGAGTATCAGAGTATCTTTTATTAATGTAAGAAAAATAAAAGTAAAATTTTGTAACAAAGTAAATTGTTTGACATTATGTGTCGTCTAAGTATTTTTTTCAAGCCAGACCTTTGCTCAACTCTTATAGCTTAGAATTCGCTTTTTTGGTTGTCGATATCCATTTTTGCATATCAAAATTAATTTTATAAATTGCAATTTTAATAACCAAAAAAACTTTACTTTAACTTTGCAAAAATAAATAATTTAACACACGAAATAAGCGTTAACAACTATAAACTATAAATAAATATATATATATACATATTATTGTTCAACAAAATATTGACTTCCAGTAAATAGTTTGTCCGCGATGTCCATAAACTATTGCCTTACAGATTGAAAACCGTCTCTATCCTCCAATTAAATCAGATTATTATATAAAAGGAAACTTTAGTAGCATTTAAGCAAGTTGCCATTATTACCCCGCAAATTCGTTTGCCAAACACATTATTAACCAAAACCAATCAATTCAATGGACTTGTGGCAACTGGGGTAACGAGGAGTTTTGGAAGGGTGGTGGGAGGACATACCAATCACAATAGCAACTGTTTTGCAAACAACAAATGGTCAACATGCAATCGGGCAAACATTTTCATGCCAAAGGCGAACGAACAACAATTACCATATAAAATTTGAAATGATTAAGCAACAACCACAGCGACAACAACAAAGGCGACCAGGAAAATTAAAACGGAATAAGGTTTTATTGTATATGTTCATGTAGATACATAATAAAATGTGCGGAACCTCTAGTGATGCTGACAGCATAATCAGCGTGTAATTTGCATAAATTTAAAATATGAATTTGCATTGCCCAACCACATCAGAGGAAAGCACGCGATGATTATATCCGCAGGTTGTGGCAAATGTCCAAGTAAAACAGTTAAACTATATTTATATATTTTTTTACTCTTCAATGCCAACCTAAACAGTTTTTTACACTATTTGATAATACTAAAAACTTTCAATTATATAGGATAGCCTTGGCGAATTGGATATTCCAAAGATAGGGAGAAATCTGGATTTCAGGACAATAAAGTTTGCAAAAGAATGGGCAATGCAGATCCAGATAGCTAATTAGAAACTATAAGGATTTACAGATAATATTCTTTGGGATAAAGGCTGTTGATATCAATTTCTTTGGGATAAAGGCTGTCAATATCAAAGTCTTTGGAATAAAAGTCTTCGGGATCGCTAAGTTTAGGCATTTGGGGCTTCTTTGTAATAGCTATTTTTAGACCACCAACTAAAGCACTTCCCGGAACTCCGCTTACAACTTTACCCGCTCCTGGTCTTGTAGGATTTTTGTTAGGTTTGTCAGAAATGGGCTAAAAAAAATATTAAAGGTGCATCTTAAAAAAGAGGTTAAATACTTACTGATATTAAAGTTTCTGGTTTAATCTGAATTTTGCTGTTTGCTGCCGGCTTATTAATCACAGGATTAATTGGTCCAACAGGCTATCATCAAATTAAATGACATAAGTTTTAAATTTGTATTAAAAATTATTTCCTTACCGGTGTTAAATTAATGCCTATACTTGGTTTATTTCCCATGGATGATCCACCAACCATTCCTGCCCCTGAAATTGTAGGGTTTACGAACACGTTTCCAGAAATAGGCTGTAATAGTATTAAAGGACATAAGCTTCAAAAACATGCTAACAACTTTATTTTCTTACTGGCATTAAAATTTCGAGATTATTTGGAATTTCGCTGGGTTCATCCGGCTTAGTAATTACGGGATTAACTGGCTATAAGCGAATTAAATGACTTAAGTTTTAAATATGTATTAAAAATTAATTTCTTTACCGCTATTAAACTGTTGACTATACTTGGTGCATTTCCCGGAGTTTCGCCTACTGCTCCTGGAATATTAGAAATAATGGACTGACTTCCAGGAATGGGCTAGGAAAATATGGAATTATTAACGTTAATTTCTTAATTAAGTAAAATTTGGCTTAGTATATCAAGCTTAAAAATGTTGAGATAAGTTGGTTCAACAGGCTATAGCAAAATTACATTTTAAAACAAGAGAGAACGCTATAGTCGAGTGCCTCGACTATTAGATACCCGTTACTCAGCTAAACAACTCAATATAAATATGCCTTCTCTTGTTTTTTTTTTTTACATAATGTGAATTATAGTGACCACAGGAAAAAAGGACAAAAAGTTCAAATTAACAATTTGAATTCGTGCTGAAAGCACCAGCGCTGCTTTAGCGCAGGCAGCTTTTGTCCTGCACCAGCAGCTGTGTTTATGTTTATGTTTTTGAGTGCAATAAATTGACTAGAAATATTAAACATACATACTTATATTGGCTAAACACATACATTCTTAAATAGTATTATGTATATTAAAGTCTAAATGTTTGCACAACACAAGTAACGGGTATAACGAATAGCTTTCTTTGAAAGGAGTTATCTTTGCCGGGCAATTGCAACTGTGTACAATGTAAATACATACAAATGTATATGCTTACATACATACACACATACGCCATTGTTTGACTCAGACCTCCAATTTGGCTAACTAGATTTGATTTGCATAGTTCTTGGGATATAGTTCGGTATTGACAAATGAAAACCATCGCAATTTCTTTTAATAGAAATCCTTATCGAGAATTAACGTTGACTCTGTTAAGCACCTTGGCCAGCTGTTTCAAAGTCATCCGTTAGATGGCGCCATAAAAGGCGGAAATGTAGGCGCTAGCTAGGCTTAAGCGTTTAATGGGTTTTGCGTGGCAAACTTTTTTTAGGCCAATCGATAGGTATTGGCAAAACAAATACATATCAATTAAAATGTTCATAATAGCATCAAAACTGTGGCCACAGCTTGTGTCTTGTGGGCTTCAGAGGGGGCGTGGCACCATTTTGAAACAAACTTGCGCTGCGTAGGAACTCCTAAAATCTACATGCCAATCTTCTAGCTTTTATAGTTTCCGAGATCTCAGCGTTCATACGGACGGACAGACGAACATGGCTAGATCGACTCGGCTAGTGATCCTGAACAAGAATATATATACTTTATAGGGTCGGAAACGCTTCCTTCTACCTGTTACATACTTTTGCACGAATACAATATACCCTTTTACTCTACGAGTAATATGTTACAAATTATTTTATTAGCCAATGAATAACAAAAGTTTTAATAATAAACTAGGACCTAATTTCCTTACAGGTGATAAATTGCTGTTAATTCTGGGTGCATTCCCTAAGGATTCTCCACCAACTTTTCCTGCTTCTGAAATTGAAGGACTTATAGACGCTGTTCCAGAAAAAGCCTTTAAAAATATTAAAGGGCATGAGCTTGAAAAAAATGTTAAAAACTGAATATTCTTACTGGTATTACAGTTCCCTGATTATTTGGAATTTCACTGGGTTCTTCCGGGCTTGCAATTAATGGATTAATTGACTCAACAGCCTTAAAGCGAATTAAATGGCATTATTTTTTAAATAAAAGTTAAAAATAAACTTTCTTACCGGTATTAAATTTTTGTCTATACCAGGTAAGTTTCCTGGAGTTAAGCCCCCAACTGTTTCTGCTCCTGATGTTGTAGGGATAACAGACTCACTTCCAGAAATAGGCTATAAAATATAAATGGACATAAGCTTGCAAGAGACACTTAAAACTTGGTTTTCTTACTGGCATTAATGTTTCTGGATTGATAAGAATTTTGCTGGGTGCTTCCGGCCAAGTAAATTTGGGATCAATTGGTTTAAAATTCTATTAGTGAATTAAATGACATAAGTTTTAAATAAAGACTAACAAAAAAAATCCTTACCGGAGTTACATTATTGTCTTTATCAGGAACATTTCCTGGTGTATCACGACCAACTGCTCCTCCTCCTGAATTTGTAGGGATAACATACTCGTTTCCAGAAAGAGGCTATGGAAATATAAATGAACATTATGTAGTAAAATATAGTAAATACTTATTTTTCTTACTGGCATTAATATTTCTGGATTGATAGGAATTTTGCTGGGTGCTTCCGGCCAAGTAAATTTGGGATCAATTGGTTTAACAATCTATAAGTGAATTAAATGTTTTAAATAAAGACTAACAAAAAATATGCTTACCGGAGTTACATTATTGTCTTTATCAGGTACATTTCCAGGTGCTTCACCCCCAACTGCTCCTGCTCCTGAATTTGTAGAGATAACATTCTCATTTCCAGAAATAGCCTATGGAAATATAAATTAACATTATGTAGTAAAATATAGTAAATACTTATTGTTCTTACTGGCATTAATGTTTCTGGATTGATAACAATCTATAAGTGAATTAAATGACATAAGTTTTGAATATAGACTAACAAAAAAGATCCTTACTGGAGTTATATTATTGTCTTTATCAGGTACATTTCCTGGTGCTTCACCCCCAACTGCTCCTGCTCCTGAATTTGTAGGGATAACATACTCATTTCCAGAAATAGCCTATGGAAATATAAATTAACATTATGTACTAAAATATAGTAAATACTTATTGTTCTTACTGGCATTAATGTTGCTGGATTGATAACAATCTATAAGTGAATTAAATGACATAAGTTTGAAATAAAGACTAACAAAAAATATCCTTACCGGAGTTACATTATTGTCTTTATCAGGTACATTTCCTGGTGTTTCACCCCCAACTGCTCCTGCTCCTGAATTTGTAGGGATAACAATCTCATTTCCAGAAATAGCCTATGGAAATATAAATTAACATTATGTAGTAAAATATAGTAAATACTTATTGTTCTTACTGGCATTAATGTTTCTGGATTGATAACAATCTATGAGTGAATTAAATGACATAAGTTTTAAATAAAGACTAACAAAAAAGATCCTTACGGGAGTTATATTATTGTCTTTATCAGGTACATTTCCTGGTGCTTCACCCCCAACTGCTCCTGCTCCTGAATTTGTAGGGATAACATACTCATTTCCAGAAATAGCCTATGGAAATATAAATTAACATTATGTACTAAAATATAGTAAATACTTATTGTTCTTACTGGCATTAATGTTGCTGGATTGATAACAATCTATAAGTGAATTAAATGACATAAGTTTGAAATAAAGACTAACAAAAAATATCCTTACCGGAGTTACATTATTGTCTTTATCAGGTACTTTTCCTGGTGTTTCACCCCCAACTGCTCCTGCTCCTGAATTTGTAGGGATAACATACTCATTTCCAGAAATAGCCTATGGAAATATAAATTAACATTATGTAGTAAAATATATAGTAAATACTTATTGTTCTTACTGGCATTAATGTTTCTGGATTGATAACAATCTATAAGTGAATTAAATGACATAAGTTTTGAATATAGACTAACAAAAAAGATCCTTACGGGAGTTATATTATTGTCTTTATCAGGTACTTTTCCTGGTGTTTCACCTCCAACTGCTCCTGCTCCTGAATTTGTAGGGATAACATACTCATTTCCAGAAATAGCCTATGGAAATATAAATTAACATTATGTAGTAAAATATAGTAAATACTTATTGTTCTTACTGGCATTAATGTTTCTGGATTGATAACAATCTATAAGTGAATTAAATGACATAAGTTTTGAATATAGACTAACAAAAAAGATCCTTACGGGAGTTATATTATTGTCTTTATCAGGTACTTTTCCTGGTGTTTCACCCCCAACTGCTCCTGCTCCTGAATTTGTAGGGATAACATTCTCATTTCCAGAAATAGCCTATGGAAATATAAATTAACATTATGTAGTAAAATATAGTAAATACTTATTGTTCTTACTGGAATTAATGTTTCTGGATTGATAACAATCTATAAGTGAATTAAATGACATAAGTTTTGAACATAGACTAACAAAAAATGTCCTTACCGGAGTTATATTTTTGTCTTTATCAGGTACTTTTCCTGGTGTTTCACCTCCAACTGCTCCAGCTCCTGAATTTGTAGGGATAACATACTCATTTCCAGAAATAGCCTATGGAAATATAAATTAACATTATGTAGTAAAATATAGTAAATACTTATTGTTCTTACTGGCATTAATGTTGCTGGATTGATAACAATCTATGAGTGAATTAAATGACATAAGTTTTAAATAAAGACTAACAAAAAAGATCCTTACGGGAGTTATATTATTGTCTTTATCAGGTACATTTCCTGGTGCTTCACCTCCAACTGCTCCTGCTCCTGAATTTGTTGGGATAACATACTCATTTCCAGAAATAGCCTTTGGAAATATAAATTAACATTATGTAGTAAAATATAGTAAATACTTATTGTTCTTACTGGCATTAATGTTGCTGGATTGATAACAATCTATAAGTGAATTAAATGACATAAGTTTTAAATAAAGACTAACAAAAAATATCCTTACCGGAGTTAGATTATTGTCTTTATCAGGTACATTTCCTGGTGCTTCGCCCCCAACTGCTCCTGCTCCTGAATTTGTAGGGATAACATACTCATTTCCAGAAATAGCCTATGGAAATATAAATTAACATTATGTAGTAAAATATAGTAAATACTTAATTTTCTTACTGGCATTAATGTTTCTGGATTGATAAAAATCTATAAGTGAAATAAATGACATAAGTTTTGAATATAGACTAACAAAAAAGATCCTTACGGGAGTTATATTATTGTCTTTATCAGGTACATTTCCTGGTGCTTCACCTCCAACTGCTCCTGCTCCTGAATTTGTAGGGATAACATTCTCATTTCCAGAAATAGCCTATGGAAATATAAATTAACATTATGTAGTAAAATATATAGTAAATACTTATTGTTCTTACTGGCATTAATGTTTCTGGATTGATAACAATCTATAAGTGAATTAAATGACATAAGTTTTGAATATAGACTAACAAAAAAGATCCTTACCGGAGTTATATTATTGTCTTTATCAGGTACATTTCCTGGTGCTTCACCTCCAACTGCTCCTGCTCCTGAATTTGTAGGGATAACATTCTCATTTCCAGAAATAGCCTATGGAAATATAAATTAACATTATGTAGTAAAATATATAGTAAATACTTATTGTTCTTACTGGCATTAATGTTTCTGGATTGATAACAATCTATAAGTGAATTAAATGACATAAATTTTGAATATAGACTAACAAAAAAGATCCTTACCGGAGTTATATTATTGTCTTTATCAGGTACATTTCCTGGTGCTTCGCCCCCAACTGCTCCTGCTCCTGAATTTGTAGGGATAACATACTCATTTCCAGAAATAGCCTATGGAAATATAAATTAACATTATTTAGTAAAATATATAGTAAATACTTATTGTTCTTACTGGCATTAATGTTTCTGGATTGATAACAATCTATAAGTGAATTAAATGACATAAGTTTTAAATAAAGACTAACAAAAAAGATCCTTACCGGAGTTACATTATTGTCTTTATCAGGTACATTTCCTGGTGCTTCGCCCCCAACTGCTCCTGCTCCTGAATTTGTAGGGATAACATACTCATTTCCAGAAATAGCCTATGGAAATATAAATTATTATTATGTAGTAAAATATAGTAAATACTTAATTTTCTTACTGGCATTAATGTTTCTGGATTGATAACAATCTATAAGTAAATTAAATGACATAAGTTTTGAACATAGACTAACAAAAAATGTCCTTACCGGAGTTACATTATTGTCTTTATCAGGTACATTTCCTGGTGCTTCGCCCCCAACTGCTCCTGCTCCTGAATTTGTAGGGATAACATTCTCATTTCCAGAAATAGCCTATGGAAATATAAATTAACATTATGTACTAAAATATAGTAAAAACTTATTGTTCTTACTGGCATTAATGTTTCTGGATTGATAACAATCTATAAGTGAATTAAATGACATAAGTTTTAAATAAAGACTAACAAAAAAGATCCTTACCGGAGTTAGATTATTGTCTTTATCAGGTACATTTCCTGGTGCTTCACCCCCAACTGCTCCTGCTCCTGAATTTGTAGGGATAACATTCTCATTTCCAGAAATAGCCTATGGAAATATAAATAAACATTATGTAGTAAAATATAGTAAATACTTATTGTTCTTACTGGCATTAATGTTTCTGGATTGATAAAAATCTATAAGTGAAATAAATGACATAAGTTTTGAATATAGACTAACAAAAAATATCCTTACCGGAGTTACATTATTGTCTTTATCAGGTACATTTCCTGGTGTTTCACCCCCAACTGCTCCTGCTCCTGAATTTGTAGGGATAACATACTCATTTCCAGAAATAGCCTATGGAAATATAAATTAACATTATGTAGTAAAATATAGTAAATACTTATTGTTCTTACTGGCATTAATGTTGCTGGATTGATAACAATCTATGAGTGAATTAAATGACATAAGTTTTAAATAAAGACTAACAAAAAATATCCTTACCGGAGTTAGATTATTGTCTTTATCAGGTACATTTCCAGGTGCTTCACCCCCAACTGCTCCTGCTCCTGAATTTGTAGGGATAACATTCTCATTTCCAGAAATAGCCTATGGAAATATAAATTAACATTATGTAGTAAACAAGAAAGGAAAGCTAACTTCGGGCGGAGCCGAAGTTGATATACCCTTGCAGAATACTCTGTAAATTATATTCTCCAAAATTATTCTTATGATGCATTCTAAATACTCATATAAAATCCCAACTTCCTAACTTTAAAAACACCAAAGTTATGGCATTTCCAATCGTTCAGTTATATGGCAGCTATAAAATATAGTCGGCCGATCCTTATGAAGTTTGGTAGGTCGGATTGATTGGCCAAAAATAAAACCCATAGAAAATCCCAACTTCCTAACTTTACAAACACCAAAGTTATGTCATTTCCGATCAATCAGTTATATGGCAGCTATAGGATATAGTCGGCCGATCCTTATAAAATTTGGTACGTCAAATTGATTGGCCAAATGTAAAACCCATAGAAAATCCCAACTTTCTAACTTTACAAACACCAAAGTTGCGGCATTTCCGATCGTTCAGTTATATGGCAGCTATAGGATATAGTCGGCCGATCCTTATAAAATTTGGTACGTAAAATTTATTGGCCAAATGTAAAACCCATAGAAAATCCCAACTTCCTAACTTTAAAAACACCAAAGTTATGGCATTTCCGATCGTTCAGTTATATGGCAGCTATAGGATATAGTCGGCCGATCCCGGCCGTTCCGACTTATATACTGCGTGCAAAGGAAAGAAGGGTGTGTGCAAAGTTTCAATTCGATATCTTTAAAACTGAGAGACTAGTTCGCGTAGAAACAGACAGACGGACAGACAGACGGACAGACGGACAGACGGACAGACGGACATGGCTATATCAACTCAGGAGGTGATCCTGATCAAGAATATATATACTTTATATGGTCGGAGATGTCTCCTTCACTGCGTTGCACACTTTTGACCAAAATTATAATACCCTCTGCAAGGGTATAATAAAATATATAGTAAATACTTATTGTTCTTACTGGCATTAATGTTTCTGGATTGATAACAATCTATAAGTGAATTAAATGACATAAGATTTAAATAAAGACTAACAAAAAATATCCTTACCGGAGTTACATTATTGTCTTTATCAGGTACATTTCCTGGTGTTTCACCTCCAACTGCTCCTGCTCCTGAATTTGTAGGGATAACATTCTCATTTCCAGAAATAGCCTATGGAAATATAAATTAACATTATGTAGTAAAATATATAGTAAATACTTATTGTTCTTACTGGCATTAATGTTTCTGGATTGATAACAATCTATAAGTGAATTAAATGACATAAGTTTTGAATATAGATTAACAAAAAAGATCCTTACCGGAGTTACATTATTGTCTTTATCAGGTACATTTCCTGGTGCTTCACCCCCAACTGCTCCTGCTCCTGAATTTGTAGGGATAACATTCTCATTTCCAGAAATAGCCTTTGGAAATATAAATTAACATTATGTAGTAAAATATAGTAAATACTTAATTTTCTTACTGGCATTAATGTTTCTGGATTGATTAAAATTTGGCTGGGTGCTTCCGGCCTAGTACTTACTGGATTAATTGGCACAAAAGGCTTTAAGTAAATTAAATGACATTAGTTTTAAATATATGTTTAAATTTATCTTTGTTACCGGTGTTAAATGGTTGTCTTTACCAGGTTCATTTCCCGGAGTTTCTCCCACTGGCAATAATGTTTCTGGATTAATTGGAATTTTACTGGGTGTTTCCGGCTTAGGAATTATATAACTAACTGGTCCAACAGGCTATAACAGAAAGAAGGGCATAAGTTGAAAATATATGCGTAAAATTAATTTCCTTACCGGTGTTAAATTGTTGTCTATACTTGGTTCAGTTTCGCCCCCAACAATTCCTGCTCCTGAATTTGGAGGATTTATGGATGGATTTCCAGAAATAGGCTATAGCAATATGTACATAAGCTTTAAAGAGATGTTAAAAACCTAATTTTCTTACTGGTATTAAAGTGTCTGGATTAATTTGATTTCTGGGTGGTACCGGCTTTATAATGATGGGATTAATTGGTCCAATATTCTATAACAGAATTAAAATTCATAGTTTTTAAAAAATATAAAACTAAATTTATGGATTTCTAGAAATAGGCTATAGCAATAAGTCCATAAGCTTGAAAGAGATGTTAAAACCTAATTTTCTTACCGTTATTAAAGTGTCTGGATTAATTTGATTTCGGGGTGGTACCGGCTTTATAATGATGGGATTAAATGGTCCAATATTCTATAACAGAATTAAAATGCATAGTTTTTGAAAAATATAAAACTAAATTTATGGATTTCCAGAAAACTATTGCAATAGGTATATAAGCTTTAAAGAGATGTTAAAAACCTAATTTTCTTACTGGTATTAAAGTGTCTGGATTAATTTGATTTCCTGGTGGTACCGGCTTTATAATGATGGGATTAAATGGTCCAATATTCTATAACAGAATTAAAATGCATAGTTTTTGAAAAATATAAAACTAAATTTATGGATTTCCAGAAAACTATTGCAATAGGTATATAAGCTTTAAAGAGATGTTAAAAACCTAATTTTCTTACTGGTATTAAAGTGTCTGGATTAATTTGATTTCTGGGTGGTACCGGCTTTATAATGATGGGATTAGTTGGTCCATTGATCTATAACAGAATTAAAATTCATAGTTTTTAGAAAATATAAAACTAAATTTATGGATTTCTAGAAATAGGATATAGCAATAAGTCCATAAGCTTGAAAGAGATGTTAAAAACCTTATTTTCTTACTGGTATTAAAGTGTCTGGATTAATTTGATTTCTGGGTGGTACCGGCTTTATAATGATGGGATTAGTTGGTCCATTAATCTATAACAGAATTAAAATTCATAATTTTTAAAAAATATAAAACTAAATTTATGGATTTCCAGAAATAGGCTAAAGCAATAAGTTCATAAGCTTTAAAGAGATTTTAAAAACCTTATTTTCTTACTGGTATTAAACTGTCTGGATTAATTTGATTTTTTGGTGGTACCGGCTTTATAATGATATGATTAGTTGGTCCATTAATCTATAACAGAATTAAAATTCATAGTTTTTAAAAAATATAAAACTAAATTTCCTTACCGTTGGTGAAATTTTGTCAATGCTCGAAATGGCGTTCCCCAGAATTGTACCATTTTCTCGGTCGATGTCAGGAAATGATACATTCGGATTGTCACCGCTCGACCCCTGTGAATGAATTTGAAAAAAGGGTGAATAAAATAATATACCTTAACTACTGATAAAATATTTATGGATTAATACCTCTGTTGGGGTTTCACCAATAGAAATAATGAGGCAACTACCATTGATGGCAACGTATGGAGGCAGGCATAGAAATTTCGGCATATACCGAGCATCCGCAAGTTGCCACAGAAGACTGGCAGCTACAATACACCCAATCCACATCCTGGTTGATTGAAATTTGACCAAAATCTTATAGAATTATTGATTTTGAGACTCTTATAATCGGAAAGTACGCCCTTTAGCTTTTTCACGGATTCAACAAATCATTTTTATAAAGCGAGAAAACTCAATTGGATTTGCTGTATCCCTTCTACTTAGGTTAACAATATACATACAGTTTTAAGAAACAAGAAATTTTCATGAAGTAAAACCAAATTTAAGTTTGATATTTATTAAAAATTATGTTTTTATTTAATCTGAAGACATCATTATAGCTTATAAGTTTATTAAAGTGCGGTTTTTTTTTAGTTTTAAAAATCTCTTAAAAGGTATTTTTTTATCGAGTATGAAAAATGCGATTATTCTGCAGAACCTTAACTAATAAGATTTCCTTTCTTTTTTTTACACCTATTTTGGAAATAAGAGTTATAAAAACGCTCAGTTATAAGCATAAGTTAAAATATTTTAGTGTGCATCAGGAAGCTAGTTATTTGCAATGAATAAATAAGATTTCGAATAAAAGCTTGGAAATGGGCGAATAAATGCAAAGTGACGAAAGAGGGGTGAACACAGGGAAATTGGCACCCATCAGACGTGTCAAAGTGACAATTCTTTATTTACATATCGCCCCTTCTCGCTCCCAGTGATGAATGACAAAAACAACAATGCTGGCTCTCATGACTCTGGTCACATTTGCGTGCGAGAGCGACGTGAGGTGCATGCAAAAATTCCGAGGGGTGTGATGAAAAAGTGTGGCCATGACACAGGTAAAAATGCTTTGACATTTGTCAACGACAGCAGCTTTACACAGGAAACAATAGTTTCTTTTTATGGTAATGATTTTTATTTCGATTTTTAAAAAATGTATAAAGATATTTAAGTTTATTGATGTGAGTAATAAAATCAAAAATACTTTAAAATAATTTAAAATGGGAGGAAATTATGTTATATATGTATATATTGTATTATATTATATAGAAACAAATTTGTTTTGCCTTGCAGATAACAGAAAAAAAAGAGCATACCCATTGGTTTCATATCATTATATTTAACATATATATAATTTGTTGGGCCTTGCACATAATAGAAAAAAATAAAGCGTACACATTTGTTTCATATCTTAATATTTAACAGATATGTATATTAGTAATGTTTAGTAAAATTATATAAAGTTAACGGTGGGAAAATAGGAAACGAAGCCCATTTCCTTATATGCAATTTGGATTGGTTAACAATAATTTTCAAGAGAGATTACTTTTTTTTTCTGTGTACCTTTTGTTGATATGAAGCCATCAAGTTGTGCACTATGTTTATTTATCAACAGATTAGCAGGCAGTTTCGGTGGCACTCGCTGTCTCCCTCTCGCCTTAGTTCCCTCTCGTTTTCGCTGCTGGGTGTAATGGCACATGAAATCGCAATAAATATGACACAGAGCGTAGCAACTTTTGCGGCATGTAGTTAAGTATAACTTACGCCCAGAGCGCTCATAATTCAAAAATTCTTCTGCGAATGGGAGGGGGGGTGATTGAGGGGCGGGCATGGTGGGGTTAAGGGGGTGGACAAGGGGGCGTTGGGCCTTGTGGGATTCTGCAAGTAACAGTCACGCTTTTGAGTGTGGGCGTGTGGCGACAGTGGGGCTTTCCCTGGGGTCTGTTTTGTCCTTTTTCCATCGCCATCTGCCTCGAACTGTGAAATATGTTGCATACTTTTGTGGGCACTCTATCTCTCTCCATCTTTATAGCCCCCACCCGGTCGCTCCTTTGACTTTTGCGGTTTATTGTAGGCGTGGCGCGTGCCAAACTTAACATACACAATCATTTTTGTGCCACACCATTTTCGCTTTCCACTCACGTCCCACAAAATGGGGTGGTGTGGGCGGTAGTGCGAGTTCCTGTTGGCAAGGTCCTTCGGGTCTGGCGCGTATAAGTTCATAATTCATTCTTTCATTATTATTTTCATTTTCACATTTTCGGTTTCCTCTCTTTTTCCTTTTTGAACTTCTCTACCCAGTCCTTCGGACTTACAGTGTCGCTGACAAATTGTTTTAAATTGCATTTTCATAATAGTTTTCCTTTTTTGATCGCCTAAGAATCAAGTTGAAGTTATAAGTGTAAATGGCTTTACTCAGCGTAATATTAGCTATAAATAAATCATTAAGCTGAAAGAAGTCTCATAATAGTTGTTCTTTAAAATTCTGAAGATTCGATTTACAGTCTTACATAATAAATTTTTAAAATTGCCGTGGTAATTGGCATTTTAAACGGTACAAAAATTTTTAATTTATCCTTTTGTGTTGTTTTCCTGTTTTAGTCTTCTTGTCTACGGATAATTCTTTACTTTGGTCCAAGCCCCGTGATTCTATTTACTCGTGCCCAATGAGCCCTGCAGCCCAGCAATTCCCTGCTTCCAAATCCCACCCGATCCCTATTCCGATTTCGATTCCGATTCAGATCCAGATCCAACAAGTCACAGTCCCCAAACCATCGATGACATTTCGCGTTCGACAGCCACAGGCAAAGTGGGTGGTTCAGTGGGTGGTTCAGTAGGTGGTTCAGTGGGTGGTTCAGTGGGTTGTTCAGTAGGTGGTTCAGTGGGTGATTCAGTGGTCTCTGCAGCAGGCGGTAGGGGTAGCAACAACCACAGACGCGTCTTTTGTTTGCTTTGACAGAGGGTGCCCCACCCTCGTCCCTCGATGTTTTGTATGTGTGTGTTTTAGTCTGGATGGCTTGGCTGTTTTGGCATTGGCGGCTACAGATTTGCTCGCTGGAGCACTAAACTTTTATTTCTTAAATCTGTGAATCGTTTGTGCTCCTCGCTCAAAGTCAATATGCGGGTACAAATGTACGAAATGATGAGATAGGCATGTCAAGAGGGTGGTGGTTAAACAGAGAGAAAGTCATAGCTATACTAAATAGTTAAGGTGTTCAAAATATGAATACCTTTTTTTCAACTCTGTTAAAGTATTATATTATCTGTAAAATACATGACACTATCTTCCCTAACTCGAAGTCTTAATAAGTCCAATTAGTTGTATTGACATAAGATAATTCTTTAAGTAAGGCCGAGGTAAAGCATTTGTTGATAATCTCTGTATTTTAATCTTAATAAATAAATCTGATTATAAATGGAAGTCTGATGTCAGATGATGATTTGAGCTAATAGTGCATAATAATAATTTATAAATAATGAAATAAACTTAAAATTAGGTTTTTGAGGTTTTAGGTTTGTTAAAGCCAAGTATAAAACAAAAAGACTTGATTGTTTTATACTTGGCTTTAACATACCATATCGACTGTCTAGTGATTTTTTTAATTGGAGGTAAAATGGGTACAGACACAACTTACAACATTTATGATAATCTTGAAAGCATATAATTTAAAAAATGTTAAGTATTACAAATATTATCTTGTCGCAATTTTTGTAACATTTTTTTTTTTGTGTAATGATAACGTGGCCCAAACTGGGCCTCTGATTTTCCCATCGTTGGCGCTGCTGTTGCCGCTTCCTGTTTTTTGGAAAATCGGTTTTTGTTGATGCCAGTGCCAGTTGTTTAGCCCCCGACAGCGCGGACTTCAGTTAACCCACTGCCACCCTCCTATCGCCCCCCGATCCCCCTTTAACACCACGGGATGGACTGGACCCACCATCCCCCCACCCATCAAACCACAGCCCATCCGTTGGCCCAGCTTCTGTCCAGCAAACAACGACAACCGACAACTGAAGTGGAGTTTTGTTTGTTGTCCGTTTGTCAATTACAAAACTTTTATTGCAATTTACTTTTGTTTCAAGCTCACAGCAGTCACTTTTACCTACCACCTACCACCTACCACCCACCACCCACGGCTATGCCCATGCCCATGCCCATCCCCTTTTGAGGTCGTTTCGATTGCTGTTCGTTGACAATTTCGTTGTTCGCTCGGTTCAAGTATTTAATATAGCACTCGATGAAGTAATATCCATTCGCTTGTTTGATGAATTGTAACGGCTCGATGTTCGAGGCCATCAAATAACGATACCCACTGGATGCCAACAATGTTGGCTCGGAGTTAGATATTGATAGGCTTGGGGGAAATCGGATAGAAATGGGATGGAAGACATTTCTACAATTCTTGCCTGGCCCGTTAATTGAATTTTGATGTCTCTTGTTTTGTATAAAATATTGAATTACAAATTCTATTGTGATTTTTACAAAAAATACTTATTTTATAGATTAGTTTAAGATTTTTTTAGTATAGATACATAATAAATATAAGGATATTATTTATAATAATTTAATGATTTAAGAATAAATAATTTATTTAAGAAAAATTGTTTGCTTAAAATATTTAAAAGGGCTTAAAGAAATTATAGGCCTATTCCAATCAAAGCTTTTGCTAATGCTTGCTCGTTTCTAGCAAATTAGATTGGAACTTATCATTCTTGAATAAAGAAAGTACAATCTCATTTATTAATCCATATAAACAAAGAGGGTAAATACAACTTTTATTTCTTTTTCTCAGCTCATACTGTGGCATAATCAGAGGTCGTAAAATCTTACATACAATCCCAACTGTGTTCTTCTTGGTAAGTATTACAAATTCACGTTTTTTTAAGTGATATTTTTTTAATTTGCATACCCATTTTCGAAACGAATTTGCGAACCCCACTGTGAACCACTTCAAGTCAAGTGGCGACTGCCCAGGAAATGGCCAGCCAGGCATTCGACTTAAAATTAACAAGTTTTTCGCTGGCCTTTACTACTGGCAAACGTTCTGCCGAAGACCCCAAAGGAATGCACAACAAACGATGCGCTAATTTGACAAAACCCACATGAGGTCCTTGCGGAGGGGGGTGTGAAGTGGGGATTCGGGGTCCCTGTAAACCGAATGAGCCCCACGGACGCGCATTTAGTGAGCTCCACAGGAGGCTGCGGTAATTTGCAAGAGGTCCGGTTTACTCTGCTCTGGCCCAGACATATACACTCCTATACAATCAAATAGGAATGAAATCGACCATTAATGTGTGGGGCAGGTAAATATGGGCATGTGTGCGCTTCGGGGGTGGCTATATATATGCAATTGGTAGCGGAGTTCATTGAATAACGCTGGATACCCCAGAGCTCCTTGCCATTGACAGCTATTGTGAATGATGTTGACAAATGAGCGATTGTAAGCAGGAAACTGAGGTGGGGGTCCTGCACTAGACAGTTGAAACGGTTGAAGGATGTTTACAAAAACCTGCTTCTTGAACTCAAATCGCATTACTGAAACAGGAAGAGAATAACAAGTAATGGAATATCATTTGTATTACTCGAAATATCATGATGTATTTCGTATTGATAAAGAAAGAGGAGTATTTTGATACAATATACATAATATATGTTCATTGAGCATTTTTATTAATTAAACCCCCTTTTAGGTATTATTATACGTAGGTATTATTAATGCCTTTAAGCTTTATTATCTGAGACAAAGCTCGCTTATTAATTTATCTGAAAATACCTGGAAAACCCTTATGTATAAAATAAAATTCTGATAAATTAATCGTAGCAAGCTCGAGCCTAAGACAAAACTTTCCACTCTCAACTAATCATCTCGAGTTCTTCAAAGCATTGCACGGCATTTGGCAAACTCATTAAAAACTTTTTCTTATCGTGATAAGGCAAACAAAAAAATGTCAATACAGTGGGAACTCAAACAACCAACCGTTTCCCACCTGCATAATTTTTTGAGAAAACATTTTCGCATAACTTAAACATTTGCCGTGCACTCTTCTCCGTCATTTCTTTTGGCTGGAAAATTCCTGCCACCCATTTTTCATGCTTCAACTTTTGCCAGACCAACAACAGCAAACATTTTTATAGCGCATTTAATTAATTAGTCGGAAAGATTTTTTTCTCGCAGCCCTTCTTCGCATATTCTTATTGCTTATTCCTCGGAAAGTTGGCTGTTCATCAACTCAAACTCATTATCCCTTTCTGCCGGCCTCAACTTATTATCTCGTCAACTCGGCCCTCGATTATGCCGGCAAAACTCTTTTCCCGGTTGTCTGGAATACTTCCATAAAATATTCATGCGGTAAACTCCTTTCGAAAATGCCCATTTCCCCAGATAACTCCCAAAAGCCAAACGATTGTGATGATGCCGAGACTTCACTCCCCCGTGAAATATTCATAAAATACTTAATTAATTGATTAATGGCCCCAGAAAGCTGAAAGTTTAGCTAAAATGATATCGCAAGGTATCAAATTACCATAGGATGTGGGCGGGGATGGGTCGATGATCCCACGAGGAGTTCCAAAACTGGCAATTGCTCAGTGGCAAAGTTAGCGACAAAGTTCGGTGGCAAGTTTAGCATCTAATACAAAATTTATGGCTGGCAGTTGTAAATTTCCAAATTTATTATTAACAGATTATACAAAAGTTGATCCTTTATCAATAAAAAGACTAAAGAAAATTTTTATTCAAATAAAAATCGATGTGTTAGATTAAATACGTACTAAACCCGAAAAAAAATAATTATGTATTAAAAAACATTAATTAACAATACTGAAAATATAGATATATAGTACTAAATGAGGTTTATAAACTTTAAATATAAGCTTTAAACTCATTATATTTAATTTCTTTTTAGATTAAACTCTATTTATACACAATATGTATATCTATTAATTGCCAAAACTTAAAACAAATTAAAAAATGTTATTATTTTAAAATTAACTTGGTAAAAATAAACATTTAAGTTTTAATCACATATATTTTCTTCAAAAAATTCAATAGCACTCCCCTTTTATTGCATTTCAGCTAGCTTTGTACAATTTTTTTTATCAATTCTGTCTGACATTCCCCAAGTAGGTGGTATATATTCTATGTAATTATATATACACATATTCTGTTGCTTTCGTGTTGACATACCAGCCACTGAAATAGCGACAATGAGAGCCACCCACTTTTGGTTCCGGTTGGCAGACCCAAGTAACAATGTCACGCACACATATTTCCTGTCATTCCGGCATTTATTTCCTCACTTCGCTCCACTTCTACCATTTTTTTTATCGCATCCTTGTTAACACGTGCGTTGCTTTCCCATTGTTGCTATTACTTATTCTGTTGCAGTGTGCACATATAAAAATAAATACAGGTGTGCCCAGAAGTCTCTGGAGATTTTAAATCACTTTAAAATATAACTGAAAGTACGTAAGCAAGAAAGATTTTTGTGAAAGTTTTTACTATGTTTAACTATTCATTTTCTTATTTTTGATTTTAATACCCATTATATTCTATTATTGAGAATAGGTACTTTAAATATTCTTCAGTGTAACTCTACTCCCGTGACGCCTCAAAATTTATCAACTCGAAAGATCTCAGTTGCATGGCCATGGCCAAAACTGAGACCTGGACCTGGCTCAAAGTCACAGTATGGGATAGCATGTGTAAAAACAAAGAAATACAGCAATAATATAATTATATGTTGGCATGACATGTTACGTGCAAGTGTCGTTTTGAGAAATTTTAACACGTTTTTTTTCCAAAGACTCAAACTCCAGAGAGGCTAGTATTTCCAGAGACTGATGGGATGTCATTATATGGACGATTGAAATTATGATAAACGGGGGTAACAAATTTGAAATTTATTAATTAAAGTAATTATGCAAACTCTTGCTATCTAAGATTACAGTACTCACTGTACACAACAATATTAAAAATATTAATAATAAAATGTATTAAATAATGTAGTTAGCCAATGGCTTAAGTACACTTTTTAAACTCCCTTTAGCAGCCGCAAAAAGAATCTCCAATAATAGAAAAACCACCCATTGTGCGGTCGTTTTTGGTAATTACAAGACTCCGATGCCCTGGAATTTGTAATCAAAAATGCCACAAAAGCCACCGAACGAGAAAACTAATAATAAAACGCTTAATAAATCGTCTATCAAAGGCGAAGGAGCCGCTGCAGCTCGCTGCCACATGCACATGCACATCCAGTGGAGCAGACAGAGTTGGTGGAAACTATATGATATATGGATGGTCTAACAGGAGTCTGGCTGCCACAATTTGGTGATCAGAGAGAGGGGCAAAGGGTAGAGCCACGAAAACTATTCAAACCCACAACTCGTCTGGTCAAAGAAAATTCTAATAAATTCTTTTTGTGCGAGGTTTTTTTTACGGAACTTAGCACGCTGATAATTGAAAGATTGAGTGCTATATACATTGTTCGACCATTAAAAATGTCTGGGAAAATGAAATTAAAGCCTGGCAACAATGTTGCCCCTCTGACTAGATAATATCGCAATCCAAATGCCAAATGCATTTTTTATTGAGTTAGTCAGCCAGTTCCATACTCCCACATCGACAGTCTGTCGGTGGCAACCAATTCCATTCATCCTTCAACAAATTAAAACAAAGTTATATGCCACTGCAACACTTTTTTTCTCCCTTCAGTTTATATTCTCTAGCTGGCTAGCTAGAAATAGCAAAAAAAAAGCAATTATGACTAGCGTTTGGGATCGTAAAAATTTCCATTCCATTGCAGTTGTAAATTCAATGTGTTGATAGCCATAACAAGTTCTCATGCTTGATAAGTCAGACAGAAAAAGAATTTTAAAAGTGATATAGGGCGAAGACCAAATTACACTAAAAAGATATAAGAAGACACCCTACCTATTATAGCATAACTATTAATTATTTAATAAAAATATAGTTATTATTAGTAAATCTAGGGACATCATAAGCGAAAATAAAAACATTTTAAAATTTGATATATACTAATACACTAAATAAATTAAATATTATAAATTCTGATTAACACAAGTGAGAGTAAGTGTCGAATATTCTTTAATATAAGAGCATAGTAATAAGAATCACTAAGGAATTGTGCATTATAAAGTATAAAAAGGTTCAAATTAATTATTCTTTTAAATCATCGAAAAAAAAATACGCAAAAAAAACAAGCAGCATTAACAACTGTTAAAAAGTTGTTTACCAATCTAAGGGGCTCAATCGAGATTGCTCAACAATTTTTGTAATCAATCCTTTCACCTCTGCCTACGCGAAATGTACCTTCAAAAACAATCGATGAGCCAAATTACACATACGACACGTGTTCCGTGACATTTTTTATTTGTTGGCCCAGGTAAATTGCGATCCATTTTTATGTATGTGACAGAAAACTGAACTCGACATTGTTAAAGTCATTTTTAAAAATAAAAACGAAACCTAGAAAAACAATTTACCGAACAAATGATAAGCAATTTAAAGCTTACGTTTGTACGAATTCCTCCAGCTAGTCGGAGTATCAAAAAAATAAAATATTACATCATATATAATGAAATAAGGACACTCTCGGGCATGCCCTTTGTGAATTGTTCGCCAGGGTCTTGAAACTTTAATGCAGCGAGCCTTGACCTCTTGACGTTGCTTTCAATTTTTCCATATGCAAATGGGTTGGAAATCGTTCAGAGCCGGAAAATTCGCCCAGCATGAGGGACAACAATGAAACACGACTGCCGACTGCAGGTGAAAGGAAAGCGCATTCAGCCCAGCCTCCGACGGGATTCACTCCTTAATTGTTTTCTCCCTCCCCTCAGACATTTGTGATCCTTTTCAGGAACAACTTAATCGTCATATTGAGCAGATAAAAGGCAGCTTCGTGAGTCCGCCTCCGGTTTCCATTACCTTTGTTCATTCTTTTAATATTCCGTCTCAAAAGAAAACACATGGAAAAATGCATTAAATTGGTCAAAAGGTTTTTAATGTCAATCTTAGGCTCTTTAAAATATTGAGCTATGTTTTAACTGGTTGTAAAATAGGTTGCTTTAAGCAAGTTTTGATATTTTAAATTTTATTTTAAATCCAATGCATGGGAAATCTATACGTTAAAAGCAAATGTGTGTTTTTACAGTTTAGAGAGTAGATCCTATAGTATAAATAATTACTAATAACAATATAATATAGATACCAACATATTTCAGTAATTCATATGAAGATTTTTTTAAGTGACTATGCAAAAGGCTTGAGTGCGCATCCAATATTTCACCAGAACAACAAAACGCAAATAAAAATCGAAGGCTTGGCGTCTCAATTTATTAGAACGCCAATCAAACAAGAAAGGAAAGCTAACTTCGGGCGGAGCCGAAGTTGATATACCCTTGCAGAATACTCTGTAAATTATATTCTCCAAAATTATTCATATGATGCATTCTTAATACTCATAAAAAATCCCAACTTCCTAACTTTAAAAACACCAAAGTTATGACATTTCCAATCGTTCAGTTATATGTCAGCTATAGGATATAATCGGCCGATCCTTATGAAATTTGGTAGGTCGGATTGGCTGGCCAAATATAACACCCATAGAAAATGCCGACTTCCTAACTTTACAAACACCAAAGTTATGGCATTTCCGATCAATCAGTTATATGGCAGCTATAGGATATAGTCGGCCGATCCTTATGAAATGGCATTTTGGATTGATTAGCCAAATATAAAACCCATAGAAAATCCCAACATTCTAACTTTACAAACACCAAAGTTATGGCATTTCCGATCAATCAGTTATATGGAAGCTATAGGATATAGTCGGCCGATCCCGGCCGTTCCGACTTATATACTGCGTGCAAAGGAAAGAAGGGTGTGTGCAAAGTTTCAATTCGATATCTTTAAAACTGAGAGACTAGTTCGCGTAGAAACAGACAGACGGACAGACAGACGGACAGACAGACGGACAGACGGACAGACGGACATGGCTATATCAACTCAGGAGGTTATCCTGATCAAGAATATATATACTTTATAGGGTCGGAGATTATAATACCCTCTGCAAGGGTATAAAAATGGATCGACGACAGACTCAAATAATATTTAATAAATCTATTTCTCAAAAGTTGGCATTACCATTGATTGATTTTATTTATGATGATAACTATGATAGCCATATTCTATGACATATTCTATGACTAAGTACAAATTTTCTTATATGTACCAGTGCTCAATAACAATTCTAAATTAGGTTTAAAGTTAAATCTGAAAAACACACCAAAGATCCTTATGAAATTTGGTATGTCGGATAGATTGACCAAATAAAAAACCAATACAAAATCCCAATTTCCTAACTTTAAAAACACCAATGTTATGGCATTTCCGATCGTTCAGTTATATGGCAGCTATAGAATATAGTCGACCGATCCTTTTCAAATTTGGTAGGTCAGATTGATTGGTCAACTATAGAACCCATAAAAAATCCCAACTTCCTAACTTTAAAAACACCAATGTTATGGCATTTCCGATCGTTCAGTTATATGGCAGCTATAGAATATAGTCGATCGATCCTTTTAAAATTTGGTAGGTCAGATTGATTGGCCAACTATAGAACCCATAAAAAATCCCAACTTCCTAACCTTAAAAACACCAAAGTTATGGCATTTCCGATCGTTCAGTTATATCGCAGCTATAGGATATAGTCGACCGATCCATATGAAATTGGGAACGTCGGATTGATTGGCCAAAAATACAATCCATAGAAAATCCCAACATTCTAACTTTACAAACACCAAAGTTATGGCATTTCCGATCAATCAGTTATATGGCAGCTATAGGATATAGTCGGCCGATCCTTATGAAATTCGGCATGTCGGATTGATTAGCCAAATTCAAAACCCATAGAAAATCCCAACTTCCTAACTTTACAAACACCAAAGTTATGGCATTTCCGATCGTTCAGTTATATGGCAGCTATAGGATATAGTCGGCCGATCCCGGCCGTTCCGACTTATATACTGCGTGCAAAGGAAAGAAGGGTGTGTGCAAAGTTTCAATTCGATATCTTTAAAACTGAGAGACTAGTTCGCGTAGAAACAGACAGACGGACAGACAGACGGACAGACAGACGGACAGACAGACGGACAGACAGACGGACAGACGGACAGACGGACATGGCTATATCAACTCAGGAGGTGATCCTCATCAAGAATATATATACTTTATAGGGTCGGAGATGTCTCCTTCACTGCGTTGCACACTTTTGACCAAAATTATAATACCCTCTGCAAGGGTATAAAAATCTTAGATATAATTTTTCCCAGTGAATGTGATAGAAAGACCATATAAAGCGCCAACTGAATTCTTTGTATTGTGCCAGAACAACAAAATGTGAATGGAATGTCTCTCACTGGAAGTACTTTTGCAGGATGCCCTGTTCGTAGAGGCGCTTCACATCGGTGCCGCCGCCGACGAACTTGCCGTCGATGAAGCAGCGGGGCACGGTCCTCGATCCCGTCATCTCGCCAAGAACCGCCTGGATCTCGTTGCCATCCTCCCGCTGGTCCAGCTCCACCACCGTCGCCTTGACATTCATCTTCCGGAACTGCTCCTTGGCCATGCTGCAGTAGGGGCAGTAGCTCTTGCTGAAGATCACCACCTTGTTGCTGTTGATCGTCTCCCGAACGAACTGCGCATGGACACTGTCCATGTTTACGAAGAGGGTGGGGCGCTGCAGGGTGCTGACCACCGTACCCATCGATCGAGCCGGGGGATTGGGCCGTGCAAGTCCGGAAAAGTTGGGAGGAAAAGGGGGTTACGAGACTTGGGGACGTTGAATTTTGACCTACGGCCTTCGACTGAACGTTTTCGATGGAAAAAACATCAGTTGCTGCGATTCAGGGCCTGCTTAGATGACTTTGGGAATGAAACTGGAATTAAATACTAAAAATTTACTATATGATTTTAATTAGTATATAATAGTTATTCTGGAATTTGTATTTTAAAATCAACACAAAACTCTGTGATATTTATCAATGTTTATTATTAACTTTCAAGAATATAACTTTTAAGCCTTTAATAAACAAGAAAGGAAAGCTAACTTCGGGCGGAGCCGAAGTTGATATACCCTTGCAGAATACTCTGTAAATTATATTCTCCAAAATTATTCATATGATGCATTCTTAATACTCATAAAAAATCCGAACTTCCTAACTTTAACAACAACAAAGTTATGGCATTTCCAATCGTTCAGTTATATGGCAGCTATAGGATATAGTCGGCCGATCCTTATAAAATTTGATAGGTCGGATTGATTGGCCAAAAATAAAATCCATAGAAAATCCCAACTTTCTAACTTTACAAACACCAAAGTTATGGCATTTCCGATCAATCAGTTATATGGCAGCTATAGGATATAGTCGGCCGATCCTTATGAAATTTGGTAGGTCGGATTGATTGGCCAAATATAAAACCCATAGAAAATCCCAACTTTCTAACTTTACAAACACCAAAGTTATGGCATTTCCGATCAATCAGTTATATGGCAGCTATAGGATATAGTCGGCCGATCCTTATGAAATTTGGTAGGTCGGATTGATTGGCCAAATATAAAACCCATAGAAAATCCCAACTTCCTAACTTTACAAACACGAAAGTTATGGCATTTCCGATCAATCAGTTATATGGCAGCTATAGGATATAGTCGGCCGATCCCGGCCGTTCCGACTTATATACTGCGTGCAAAGGAAAGAAGGGTGTGTGCAAAGTTTCAATCCGATAGCTTTAAAACTGAGAGACTAGTTTGCGTAGAAACAGACAGACGGACAGACGGACAGACGGACAGACGGACAGACGGACAGACGGACATGGCTATATCAACTCAGGAGGTGATCCTGATCAAGAATATATATACTTTATAGGGTCGGAGATGTCTCCTTCACTGCGTTGCACACTTTTGACCAAAATTATAATACCCTCTGCAAGGGTATAAAAATAAAGCTCACAACTTATATTTTCAGTCCCTGTTTCAAACGTTAGATGTATTTCTTTAACCCCCTATAAAGTAAAATGCTATCGTTTTTACTATCGACTATAAAACTTAATCCTTAAAACCACTCATAGCATTAACTTAAATTAAATATTTAACTTTAGCTATCAATTCTCGTTTTTATACCCTTGCAGAGGGTATTATAATTTTGGTCAAAAGTGTGCAACGCAGTGAAGGAGACATCTCCGACCCTATAAAGTATATATATTCTTGATCAGGATCACCTCCTGAGTTGATATAGCCATGTCCGTCTGTCCGTCTGTCCGTCTGTCCGTCTGTCCGTCTGTCCGTCTGTCCGTCTGTCCGTCCGTCCGTCTGTCCGTCTGTCCGTCTGTCTGTCCGTCTGTCTGTTTCTACGCGAACTAGTCTCTCAGTTTTAAAGATATCGAATTGAAACTTTGCACACACCCTTCTTTCCTTTGCACGCAGTATATAAGTCGGAACGGCCGGGATCGGCCGACTATATCCTATAGCTGCCATATAACTGAACGATCGGAAATGCCATAACTTTGGTGTTTGTAATGCTAGGAAGTTGGGATTTTCTATGGGTTTTATATTTGGCCAATTAATCTGACCCACCAAATTTCAAAAGGATCGGCCGACTATATTCAATAGCTGCCATATAACTGAACGATTGGAAATGCCATAACCTTGGTGTTTTTAAAGTTAGGAAGTTGGGACTTTTATGAGTGTTAAGAATGCATCATATGCATAATTTTGGAGAATATAATTTACAGAATATTCTGCAAGGGTATTTCAACTTCGGCTCCGCCCGAAGTTAGCTTTCCTTTCTTGTTTATTTTAATTTTTTAAAACCATTATTAAAACGTACATTATTAAGCATTTTCAAGATGCTTCAAGCACTTTTATTAGAAACGCTCCACAAACCATTTCAAAATCGATTAAAAAATCATTAATCTTTAAACAGATGCCGCAAAACAACAAGCCAACTATTCTCCAACTGAACTGAGGTTTTGTCCGTCATAAAATCTCCCCTTCTATCCAGGCTTATGACACTTTCACATTCTGGGCCCAAAAACTAACCACTGTAACCGATGGCTCATGGAACCGCAGAAATCCCAAAGGGAACCCTTTTTGCAATTGAGAATCGGAGATGCTGAAGACGGGACTCACTAATGAACTGAGGCGTTTATTTATGCAAAAGTTGAGACCTCAACTAATGGGTCGAGGACATCAAAGACAGGACCATAGACTTCCGTTCCCCCTGCTTAGGAAATCCACCGTCTGGCCGGAGTTTAAATATTAAGTAACCCAAAGAGGAAAGTCAGTTCAGTTGAAAGATGGTAGTTAGGTGGCTGAACTAACTGCAGACATGTGGATGCCGAAGAAATCCTTTTCATTAACGCGGCGCTTGTTGCTGACTTCCTGCCAGGACCTCTTCTATACATATATGTATATATGCACAAATATGCGAGTGTGAGTCCGTGTCCTGGTCGTAAGTTTCCGTGTAACAATGTAATTTATTGTGCGCACCTTTGTTTTCAGTCAACACACACTCAACGGCTTCGCCCGGGTAATAAAACAATTTCTCCCCATGTCCCAAGCATGCACAGAGAAAACGATTTTAAAATTATTTACAAACTGCATTATAAAATTTTTTTAATAATTAAATCTAATGAAATAGTTGATACAACAAATTGTCGATATTTATTTTTAATTTAAACTGTTAACTGCGGTCCGTTGCGTTATAAAATCTTCCCTTAAAAATGTTAAATTAAAAATAAATATTTAGACATATGTGAACTGATGGATTTCTTTTGTGTATCATCCAGGGTTATCAATTCTAAAATGTTTTAAATATCCTAATATTATATTATTATTTAGTTTATAAAACTAAAGCTAACATACAGGGCATAGCTACGTGGCCTTCGACTATGATGGTTAGAATGACTTATTATATATTTTTGGGTTTTTAATTAGGTTGTATATATTATTAACAATAATTGATTTGTATTAAAATTCCTTAAAAGAGATAATTGATTTTTTTACTGTGTGTCCAACATTGTTGTCGCCAGGACATCACCCACACACACTATAGCTAGAGGCACTCCTAAGTGGATTATCCTACCTTCAGTTACTTCAAAAAGTTGTTCCCCTCACCTGTCCGAAAAAGCCAACTCATTATTGTTGTCTTGTCTTGTTCAATGGCCATCTGCTAACAGTTTACACATATGTAAAGCGCCAGTCCTTCGTCCTTAATCATCCTTTATTCCCGACATGCTACAAATTTATCGCATGCTAGAATAAGTATCCTCTCTTCGCGCCTGCGCTTTCTATTATACTCTCTCGCATATTTTCTCTGAGTGTGCACTAGACCATCGTAATTGTTTTGGGAAATTTACTTAACAATCATTTTAAATTGTTCGCGGTTTTTCTCAAGGATTAGTACTTAATTTGATTAGGCCATTCAAGTTGGCAGCAAGTTCTCGTTGGCGGTGACGCCTTTTTATTGTTTTGGCTGGAATTTCTTGGTTCGTTTAGGGCGACCATTAAAATGTAATATAAATTCTAAGGAAGGGGTTTCCTAATGGGTGGAATGTGCAAAACTTGGAAGGAAATTTGTTGCAGAGCTCCTTAAAATATTTCTTAATAGTTTTATTTAAACCAAAATATTGAGGGTTTTTTAATATATAGTTAGTTTCTGCAAAGGTTTATATTTATAAAAAAATACTTTTAATAAATGTAAAAAGTCAGGAAAAGTGTATACAATTAAAAATTTTATTGTCGTTAAAATATTTGTCAATGCGCTCTATATAAAACTTATTAAAAATGCCAATTTAAAAAAGCTTAGAACATTGATTGATGTTAACTCTTATAATTCCCTATAAACGGACCCAAATAAAATTATATACTCTAAATTGATGACCTATTAAGGTGATAACTACTTCATCGATTTCTCTTTAGAAATTCTTATCTGACAATTAATCAAATACTTAATTCACATCAATGGCCTGACTCCACACCTGACACAGATCGATGGCCATTGTCCGTTGAGTTAAGCTGGAGTAAGAGGCTCTTCCACCTGAGCTGAACTATGGGAATCACCCAGGAATCGCCTGTCGAACAATGCCATTGTCGACGTCTTCGGACTCCCTGCTAATTGCCAGCAATTTGTCTACGCAATTGCGTAATCCCATTGGCCCATTCCCCTTGCTGACAAATTAATTTCCAATCATTAACTCAGCAATGCAATGGCAACAGATACTACAGAGCACGGGACTCAAAGGGTTTACGGGCTGGAAATGTTGATGGGAAGACTCCTCAATTGATCACAATTTAAATGTCGGTCATTTATAGCAGATGAAGGGTGAGGAATGAGGGGATTCGCATGCTTCAGCTAATTGGGTTAGGCAGCAAATGGGCCAGAAGGCGTTAGTAGAGCGTACTTTGAACTTACTTGCACCGGGAAAAATATATATCACTTTTAGAGTATTAGGAAGGATGTCTTAAATTTTTCTATAAATTAAAAAAAATAGACATATCACTTTTAAAATATAACAAACCATAAAGTTATTTTCACATTTATCCTCTCATTTGAGTGTTTTAATATACACTGTCATAAGAAAAACTTTTCATTTTAAATATTTAATTTCCATAGTAGTTTAATTTTCTATTTTACAAAATTCCTCACTATTATAATAAAAGTTTACTATTTGTGCTAAAATAATAAACTTTTTTGTTTAAATATTTTTACTACATTGGTTTTCTTAATTATAAAATAAATATTTCCTGTGTACTAAAGAAAGCATTGCCAATCTTAAGCACAATTCGGACCAAATTGATTAGCTTAATTCACATTTAAT